AGAATCCTCATGTGCCTTGCACTCGGCCTCCCCAGATGTTCACATTTTACACGACCTGAGTGCAGTGGTCCAATCTAGCAATTTATGTTGATCCAACGCTCTTGATTAATCTATACTCCCCGCAGGATGTCGTTCTTGTCTCACTGACGTCGTTTTGTTCTGACCCTGATCACTCACAGGGCTCAGCTGGCCTGTGCCCTTGGCCTCCCAGGATCTGGGACAGCACCTCAGTCTTTATTTGCTTCTCTTGACGCTTTTGCAGAGCACTGGCCAGGAACTGTGTAGAATGTCCTTCCACCTGGGTCATCTAAGGTTTCCTCAGAGTTACATTTGGAGATGCATCTTTGGCAAGAACGCCCTAGGAGGGATCTGCGTGTTTCTGAGAGCCTGGCGTTGGACTTTGTCACTTGGTAAAGGTGCTGGCGCTTCTCCTGTGGTGAGTTGGTCCCTGGGGTAATGCCATGAGGCTGTGCCCCGACCTGTGTCTCAACGCGACTCCCCTGCTAGTTCCAGTGTCCTCAGATGGTTGTTATCAGTGTGGTCTTTACCACATGGTGATTTTCTATTTCTAGTTCTGGTCTACTATACTTATAGTTGTCATTCTACTGTAAGAAAGAGCCTTCCCCATTACTTATTTATTTCTTCAGTTATTTATTTATGTCACTGTAGGTTAATGGATATCTACTTTATTCTGTTGTACTGATTCTTACTCTACTTATCATTACTATCTTCATTTTCTTACTCAAATTGGCCCCATTATCACTTTTAAACTTCAGTACAGACATATCTTTCTGTAAGATCATAAGTTAAAATAATTTCTGTACCGGAGAAAATGGTACTATTAATCTCAACCAGATTCTTTAGGTCTAATAAGTCAAAATATGAATGAAGATTAGCTTACCTAAAGTTAGTGGTGGTGGTTTTGGATGAAGAACGTATTCTTTTTCTGGATCTTCCGCTTTGGGGCCTTGTGTGGTTTTTTTAAGTCCAGTATCTATTATTGCTTTTGTATTTCTTTTTAGAGACTTGGATCTGTTCTCTGTCCAAGAATGTACATTTGTACATTTGTCCTTTGTCTTAGAATGATCTGCTATTGAAAGATTTCGAAGTTGAAGATCATGTAACATGTGATCTTGTAAAGCCACTGCAGTGACTGCTAAGTTATCCTGTTTAGATGAATGACCCTAGAAAGTGGGGAAAAAAGCCTTACATGCGGAACATTATCTAATGTACCATTTACAAGAAAGCTTATGCTCTAACACTCAACCTTGATGCCATACCAGACCAAATCCAGTAGTAAAGAATGCTTCACCCATCGTTACCCAAGTCAGGGGAGCAAAGCCCAGTCTCACCATTTATGTTAACGACATAGTAACATCTTTTCACTTAATTACTAAGGCCTTAATCGTAATATGAATAAATGCATTCTGACGTATATAAGCTGTGCGTGCCTGAGCACATTCTGTTTCACTATAATTAGACTCCAGGCAAAGCTTACTTCTGTTACATTAAAGAGAACCTTGCATTTAAGTGTATGCTTTTTTAGTGAAAACTTATACAAAATACAATTTCCATGCAGCTAAGAGATGCTTACACCAAGTACTACAGCTGACAGTTCCTCACTGAAGCAAGGTTTGCAAACTATTTTTTATACTGTCAAATAGCTGAATTAAAATATATTCACGAGCGGGTCTTCCCTGGCGGCGCAGTGGTTGAGAGTCCGCCTGCCGATGCAGGGGACGCGGGTTCGTGCCCCGGTCCGGGAAGATCCCATGTGCCGCGGAGCGGCTGGGCCGGTGAGCCGTGGCCGCTGAGCCTGCGCGTCCAGAGCCTGTGCTCCGCAACACGAGAGGCCACAACAGTGAGAGGCCCGCGTACCACAAAAAAATAAATAAATAAAAATAAAAAATATATATATATATATATATTCACGAGTAAAACAATGTGTATGTTTTAAAAAGGATTGTGTACCTTATTTTTTAACATGCTGACCCAGGAGAAGTGGTTTCTTGGCTATATCAAATTATATCATCATTTCATATCCCAGTCCTTTGATTCTTCTACTGTAAAAAAGCCAACAGAAAGCCAGCGTTAGAGTGTACCTAAAGTCTCTGATGAAGTTTACGGGGAAGAGAAATACGGGGAGTCTAACTGACGATGAGTGCACACCAGCACAGCACTAAGCTCTGTGCTCTGATCCCGGAGGAACTCAAGGCGGTCGTGACTTGATTCACCTGTCCTCAAGCACTTCTCCTGATAGTCGGAGGGAACTATTAATATGAATGAGAACAATCTGTTGCTAAATATAATGTTACTATACGTGGACACAACAGAATTTCAGACTACAAAGATCAGAGAATGTAAGTGAAGTACCTCTTAAAGGGATACGATTAGAAGAGGGATTTGAAGGACAGAGAGCAGGCAATGAACATGCTACCCCACAGGTACAAGAAAAGCACAGGCCCTCCAGAACTCAGCAGGTGTTTATGTTTTAGAGAAGGGAACAGTGGACGCTCTGGGATGTAACAGGAATACTGTCTGACTTCACTCTGTCCACAACAGAGACATACATGGCTTCTAATCTTGCTCTACCTGTTTATACAAGATACGCAGCATATCTGAGTCTGTTCCCCCACCTCAAGACAGATATAATAACGCTCTCCTTGCAGGGTTACTGTTAGGATTAAATGAGACAACCTTTGTAAAGTATCTAAAATAGGTCCTTCTACACAGAAGATACTCTGTAAACAGTTATGCTTGATCCAGTTCCCTTCAAAGCTGATGGAAAGGCACTTCCCTGGTGGCACAGTGGTTAAGAATCCTCCTGCCAATGCAGGGGACACGGGTTCAAGCCCTGGTCTGGAAAGATCCCACATGCCGTGGTGCAACTAAGCCCACGTGCCACAACTACTGAGCCTGCGCTCTAGAGCCCACGAACCACAACTACTGAGCCCACGTGTCACAACTACTGAAGCCCGCACGCCTAGAGCCTGTGCTCCGCAATAAGAGAAGCCGCCGCAATGAGGAGCCCACACACCGCAACAAAGAGTAGCCCCCGCTCGCCGCAACTAGGGAAAAGCCTGCGCGCAGCAACGGAGACCCAACGCAGCCACACACACACACAAAAAGCTGGTGGAAGAATTTGGAATTGGTCCTTTTAGTTTTTAGACAAGGGTATATCTTATGAAGACAAGAGTACAAAATATATTGGGATAGGGAGGAACAGTAAACTGCTGGAGTAATTAGGGAGTACTGCTGAGGGCTTGATTGTAAGACAAGAGACAAATTAATCCCAAACATGTATCTCAGGATCAACACCTACATTCAGTTAGTCCCACAGAATGAGCTTCCTAAGGGGTGAGTGCAGAATGAGGAAAGCAAGCACAGTGGAAAGGAGTCTGTGAGATCCCCAAGACCCCTTAGCAGTGAGGTGACAGCTTCTACGGCAACCCCGTTCCCCTTCAATTCTGGCATCAAGAGGAGAATGAAGGAGTTTCCATCTAATATTTCATCACAACAGTCCAGGCTGAAGAAATGGTAGAAGGTATTTAAAATGCTGAAAGATCACTAACAGAATCTTCTACTTTCAAAATGCCTACAACCTGGCAGAATATAGTTTGCATCATCCGAAAAATTGTTTAATAATCATAGCTAGCTATCTGCAGTCGACAATTTTATCTCAAGTGTCTACACTGTAAGCCACTGGGCTTAACATCAAGAGCTGCTAAAAACTGTGCCCCTTGTAAGTCCTACAGTGTCGTTAAATTTCAACATTAGAAACTATTTTCAACTATTTAGTCCAACTTCATTTTAAAGGGAGAAAACATATCCAGAGATTACTGACTCCTCCAAAATTATATCATTAGTCTGTGGCAGCATTACGGTTAGAAACTTAATCCTTACCCAGTATTAAGAGCTAAACTTAATAGGAATATTTTTTCTTCGTAAATTCCATTGTTAACAATTAGTTAAAAGAGGTAGGGCTTGGTAAAAAGATACCACTGTGGTGGCAAAATTGTTACCGATTTGTCTAAGTGACTTTAAGCTAATTTATAAACATGCTAGTTAAAAACACAGCAACACCAGAGAAAGTTTTTAAAAGCCAATTGGACACATGTGTTGCCAGGTTTTATAACTTAGGAATTCCTTGTTTTACATTTTTGATGAGATTCCACCCAGGTTGGCCAGAAGCACAGAAACAGTTGTAGAATGACAGTCCTCCTGTCCCTGGATATCCGTGGGACTGGTTCCAGGACCCGCCGGTTTTCACCAAAACCCCAGGATGCTCAAGTCCCAGAATCAGCCTCCACCCGACCCCCGTCCTCCGCCAGGGAGAGTGTAGCACTGCGGTACATATTTACTGAAGAAAATCCGGGTATGGCCTGCAGGTGGGCCCCGCAGTTCACATCCTCGTTCAAGGGTCAACTGTATGTGTTAACAGTGGACCCCCTTTCAGTAACGGTCTGGTTGTGGTTCTCAGTGACCGTTCTAGGCCCTCCCAAGGGATGGCCACGGAGTAGGCGGGCTGCCCTGGGGACCCGAGGACCTTTGGGGCTGCACAGGACAGTCCCGGCCGCTCCCGCCTCCAGGGCGCCCCCTCCCCTGCCCTCCCCAACCCATCCCAACCCCTCCACCCTACTCCACCCGGGGCCGCACCTGCAGCGGAACCGACCCCGCCCTCTGCACACACACCGCGGCCGACGCCCTCCACCTCTGCGGCTCGCCGTTGCCTAGCAACCACCGCCGCTCCGGTCACACGCCAGCGCGCATGCTCAACGGCCCAGTCCTGCCCCACGCTGAGCACCACTTTCCGGAAGCCCGCTGCGGCTCTGCCACACTGCGCATGCTCGCAGGTCCCGCCCTTCGTGCAGCCACACTGCGCATGCTTACCGGCTCTGCCCTGCACACAGTACAGAAGCCTCTATCGCTCGGGCGGTGCTTTTACACCGCGCATGCTCATCTGCTGCGCGCCGCACAGGGCCGCGCCGCGCATGCTCGCCGCCGCGCGCGCTCGCGCAAGTGTCGGGGGCGGAGTGTGGAGTGCGGGGCGCGGACGCACGTGGGGAGCGTCCTCGACTTCCCCGGCTCCGTGGTTTCCTTCGCTTAGCGTTCGTCGGATTTCGGCGCCCGGAGCGCGCCCTGCTGCGGGTCCTGGAGCCCTGACTGCCCAGGCAGCCAGGCCGCTGGCCCTGCCTCGGGTGTAGCCTGGACACGCCTGGCCCACTTCCTTTCCCTTCTTTAAGCATCACATCCTGCGCTGCCCGTTGTCCAGTGTCCGAAAACCATTGTTTCTTATATTTGAATTTTTTAGTTGACGGAGGTAAGCTTAAATCCAGTCGCTAACGCTTCATCGTGGCCCAACGCAGAGGCCAATAGAAGTTTGTTGAGACAGTGACTCAGCTGTGCTATTTAAACTTTTATTGAAATGAAGTTCAGCTGAAAGTACAGAGAAAAAATACAAAATGCAAATAGTCCTTTCTTTTTTTCACTTCTCTGAAAGTGAGGTCTAAAGAAGTTACCAAGTTGATTGGAAATACGTCATTGATTGTTAAAGGCCTAAAAGTTAAAGTTTTTGATGTACATTGGAGTAAATGATATACTGATGAAACAAGATAATCTGAAGCTTTATTGAAGATAATTTTTTTCCTAATGGAATTAAATTTTCTAAGATGGCCACTCCTATTTGGAAGTTCGTTGAAACAGACTAAAAACAAGGTAAACTTTTTTGATAAAGCCAAATTAAGTTCATAATGAAGTTCATAATCTTTCACATAATATTTCAAACTTTTCCGACAAATATTGTAATCTTGATTTACATTCCAGTTGGTGATGGGTCTAGGAGACAAGTAAGGGTCACTAGTCCTCAGGACCTTTTGTTTTGTGACTCAGAGCACAGAGGAAAGAGTGGGAAAGCTTTGGATTCAGATAGGTAGATCTTACTTTTGGGTTCTATGCGTAAAGGGGACATTTCTTACTTCTCCCCTCAGTATCCACGAGCCCTTCTCCACCAGTTGTCCTGGGGATGCTTCAGTCCTGGGATGGAACATATGCCCAGCTTCAGCTCATCAGAAAATCTCAGTGCCCTGGCCATAGTGACTCACAGTAAGTCCCCTACATATGAACGAGATCCATTCTGAGAGTGTGTTCATAAGTCCAGTGCGTAAGTCCAACAGAGCTAGCCTAGGTACTCAACTAACACAATCGGCTATATAGCACTGTAATAGGTTTATAATACTTTTCACATAAAGAATACATAAAAAACAAAGAATGAAGAAAATGTTTTCAATCTTATAGTACAATACCTTGAAAAGTACAGTAGTACAGAACAACAGGTGACACACAGGGCCTGGCATCCAGTGAACAGGCAAGAAGAGTTACTGACTGGAGGAGGGAGAGGAGGTGGGAGACGGTAGAGCTGAAGGATCATCAATAGGGGACGGAGGGCGAGCTGCAGTGTCACTCACGCCTGACGTTGATGGCACAGGTTCTGGTTCCTTGCTGGATTCAATTCTATCTACCCTCTTGAAAAAATGATCCAGTAATGTCTGGGTAGTAGCTCTGTTTTTCTTGTCATAGGTGACGCGGTAGCACTGGATTGCATTCTGAAGGGCTGCTGCAACCTTCGTGTGCCGTTCTACGTTTGGGTCCTGTCCCTCAAAAACTCACAGTGCCTCCTCAAATAAAGAAAATCCCCTTGCCATTTCCTGCGTCGTGAATCTCTTCTTAGCAGTACCAGCTACACCACCGCTGCTTTTACGCTTGCTTCTGGACATCCTGGGCTAGAAATAAAGGTACTGTACTGCTCCACTCTATACAGTACCGTACAGTGAAGTACACAAAAGCACAGCCCCTTGTAGAGGATGCACGCATGTGACAACGTCCACCAGACACGTGAACTACCTTACGTGATCGGACGTGTGAACGCACGTTCGCATCTCTGAAAGTTCGAAACTTGAAGGTTCGTATGTAGAGGACTTACTGTAACTGGAATGAGCATAGGACCTAGTGGGGCTAATCAGATGGACTCAGTATATTTGTGGCAGCTACTGGAAAATTCCTTTAATTCCTCCTACTGAATGTAGAAACAAGAAAAGACGTGAAACTGCAGCTGTGCTGGCTATCTTGTCATTACAAGGTGAGAGCCTGAAGCTGTTGGGGGCCATCGTGAACCTCCGAAGGAGGATTATACAGGAAGTGGCAGAGATTTGGACAGAGTCCAAGCCCTGGTGAGATAGTTTAAGCCCTGAAGGTAGCCCAGCTCTGAGTCTTTCCACTTACCTGAGTGAATAAATTCCCTTTATGCTTCAGCCAGTTGAAGTCTGGTTTTCTGTTACTTGTAATGGGAAGAATTCACATGACAAATAGGTATATTATTACCACCTTAAGGCTCTGGTGAGCTTAAGACGGCATACGTATGTGAACTGCTTAGTTCGGTGCCTGCTAATCTTTATATCCATTTTAAGGTATTTTTATTGAACTTAAGCATCTAAGAAAAATTCCCATTTTAAAAATTCCTTCCCTCCATCCAAGTGTTTAAAATTTCAGGACAGTTTTACTACCTGCATGTTTTCTGTCCTAAAGAAATGGGTCTTTCTTCTTAGCTACACAGAATATTTTTCTGCAGGCATTTGCTTAAAAACTTAGTCTTGCAATGATTACTTTGTAATTCTTGACAGAAAGCATAGCTGACATGATTGTTATTTGAAGATGTTATGAGGACCATGTTCCTCACCCCTCCTCCAGATAGAGTGTTCTGTCATCAGAACGTGACATTCTTGGATGGGAAGGGTTCAATAACTTGTATAACCCACCTTTCTCACTCCCAAAAGCGTGCTGTCAGTGATTTGTAGTTAACGCTTCTAGCGTTTTTGTTTGTTTGTTTCAAGATGGGCTTAAGAAATTGCCATATGCAGAGTGTGTTTGCATCCTCTGAAAACCCCGAGTACATTTTCCAAAGTACTGTCCAGTGCCCTTTATGTAAGCACTCGTGTTACCTGAAAACTGGGTTCGCCTCTCGGTGGGTGTTGAGCCAAAAGACACAACCAAGCCAAAGAGTGGGAGAAGAAAGGACTTATTACAGAAAGCCTCCTGCATACGAATGAGTTCCATTCCAAGAGCGTGTTCGCTGAGTCCAGTTTGTTTGTAAGTCCAACGAAGTTAGCCTAGGTGCCCAGCGTTTACAGATGATGCCAGACACGTGAACTAACGTACGTGATTGGACATGCGACGCACGTCTGCATCTTTAAAGTTCGCAACTTGAAGTTTCGTATGTAGGGGACTTCCTGTACTTGCAGCAAGTAAGGAGAACGCTGGGGATCTTTCCCAAAGTGGTGTCTCCCCAAACAGCAAAGTTGGGGAAGTTTTAAGCTAAGGGTACTTGCATATTCATGAAGGGGCTTGAGCAGAGGAGAATTGGGGCGAAGGTTGACAGAGTCCAAGCTTTAGTTTATCAAAGTCATGCTCTTTGAGCGTCAATGTCATCATCCCGTCCTGTACCTGGTGGGGGCCTTAATTTCCGCAGAACTCAATGACTGTATCAGATTGTTACGTACACCCCTTGAGGAGGAACTCTGTTTTATGGATGAACTATTGTTTCTTTTTTAAAAAATTTTTAAATTTTTTTGCGGTACGTGGGCCTCTTACCGTTACGGCCTCTCCCGTTGCGGAGCACAGGCTCCGGACGCGCAGGCTCAGCGGCCATGGCTCACGGGCCCAGCTGCTCCGCGGCATGTGGGATCCTCCCAGACCGGGGCACGAACCCGTGCCCCCCGCATCGGCAGGCAGACTCTCAACCACTGCGCCACCAGGGAAGCCATGAACTAGTGTTTCTTGACTGCTTTTCCTTTGGCCCTCACTTCCCTTAAGATCAGTCATTAGTGAGACCTGTTCAAAGGCAAGCATTGTAGCCAGGCTTAGATCACAAAATGGCTCAGGCCAAAAGTGGCTTCTCTTATGTCTAGAAAACCATGCCTGTTCCCTTTCTCTGGGGTCCCCCTACCCTATCTGCTTACACTTGCATGATTAATATATTTTAGAATTTCAAAAACATGAATTGGATGTTCTGGGAATGGTCTGAAGAGAAAGGTGTAAGGTCGGATCTTAACAAACGGCACCGCGAAACAGAGGAAAGCTTCAAGTGAGCTTTATTAGGGAGCGCTCGCGGGCGAGGTTCACTGGTCCGAGAGAAAGGGGCCAGAGAAGTCGCACCCGGGCGAGGGTTGGGCAAGATTTTACAGGGGAAGAAGGGAAAGGGGTGTGGTGAATCTGGGAGGGCGCAGGGTATTCCTTATTTGGTGGTCTTTTCGGGTATCCTGGGGGACCGTTAGTCCCGCCCCTCGAAAGGCGGGAAGGCTG